GCTGGCTCAGGTTTTGCTACACCAATACTGGCAAACACTCTGGCGGGGAAGTGTCAGCCTCCTCCTCCTTAAGTAGGGCCTCCTGATGAGCAGATGGGAAACAGGTGTCGCAGTCAGCTCATGCCCTCAGGAGAGATCTTGTGCGCCCTCTGGTGGAGAAAGTAGAAAAGCCTCCAGATCCCAACATATTTGGCATTTTATTCTTTCCAACTCAAATAAAAAAACAACATGAATATGTTGCCCTGAAGTTAGCATGAACAGTGTTGTTTTCTTCAACGATGACAAAATTATTTTACAGAAAACTGACAAGCTCATGGGTTTGAGTTTTCGTCAACAAGACGAGACTAATTAAAAATTAATGGGTGGTCGGTCAGATGTGTAAAATGCATCATTGTGCTGTAATCTTTTAGACGAGCTAAGCGGTATTAGCTGTGCAGCTGCGTCTTGTTTGCTCACACAGAATATGCACAATAACACAGTCATGTGCAATAATAGTAATTGATTGATTGACTTTATTGATCTCACAGCGGCGAAATTTACTCGTTACATCAGCTCAAATACTTAAAGGGGAATAAAGTGCCAAAGGAACAAAAAGGTGTGTGGCTGCAGTATATACAGTGCATCCACATATGATAGCTTTTTTAAGTTTATTTATGCATTTTTTTCATAGAGGATTATTATACTGCACAGGGTGTTTACATGGGTATTTATTTAGATAGATATTGATAATTGAATATATAGTTATTGCACTTGGTGTCAAATATAAAGAAACAGTTATTGCACAGGGTATTAAATAGTAATTGCACATTATACATTGCACATTGTACAAGTTATTGCCGTTATAGTGTTGCATTGTAGAGTCTGGTTGCAGCAGGGAAGAATGACCTGCGGTAGTTCTCCTTTTTAAAAACAGGCTGTAAAAGTCTTTCACTAAAGGAGCTGCTCTGCTCCTCTACAGTCTGGTGCAGAGGCTGGAAGGTGTTGTCCATGATGGATGGAAGCCTGGACACCACCCTCCTCTCAGCCACTTCCTCCACTGAGTCTAGATCGCAGCCTAGAACAGAGACAGCCTTTCTGTCTGTTTCTGTCCCATGCTGCCCGGGGTCCAGCAGACGACAGCGTAGAGGAGGGCTGATGTTATCATAGAATCATAGATGGTTTTCAGCAGGGGCCTGCTCACTCCAAAGGACCTCAGCCTCCTCAGGATGGACTGGTACATGCAAACAGAGTTTTATGGGGCGCCCAGGAACTTGGGGCCCTAGGCAACTGCTTAGAATTGCCTGATGGTAAATCCCTCCCTCACTGCTATCTGAGTAACAGCAGTGTGCTCACCGCTACACGTTAGAGGTTACAAGCTGCTACCGTTAACTCGTACCAACAGCTAAAGACAACAGTTCAGGAGTAAAACTTAACTTTTTCTTTATTACAGAGTAGAGCCCCATGTCGTCTGTGATGAACAAAGTTAAGGCCAAATGTCTTCATTTTTCCTCCTTTTTTCTCAGAAACTCTTGCACCTGCAGAATTTCAACACTCTGATGGCGGTGGTGGGAGGTCTGAGCCACAGCTCCATTTCTCGTCTAAAGGAAACCCATGCATACCTGGCTCCAGAAGTTCTGAAGGTACTGACAATGAGCTTTGCATCTCCTGACTTACACCAAGATGATTCCATACTCTGTGCCGCTGTACCAATGCACTGCAAATAATTAAAATCTAAATGAGTCACTTTTTCTTAAAATATGTGCATTTTGTTTTGAACTGAGGAGGTAAGTGAAAAACTTTGCCAATTGAACAGGATAATATATGGATTGAACTATTGAATTATCTTATTTCAAGTCCATATTATCTAATGATCTTATTTTAAGAGTAAAAATACTAATTCTAAATGCAGATCATCTTATTTACCTACTAAAAATTAAGGGTAAATACACGTAATTTAAGAAATGTTTACTTATTATCAATAGTTTTTTGATATTTCCTTTTATTTTATAATAATATTTTAGATATATGTATTTGTTGCCACGGAAACCACGGCTTAATGGCAATGTCCTATTTTTGTCCCAGATGTGGAACGAGATGACGGAGCTGGTGTCTTCCAATAACAACTACTCCAACTACAGAAAGGCCTTCAGTGAATGCAGAGGTTTTAAAATCCCCATACTGGGCGTACACCTGAAGGATCTGATCGCAGTGCACGTCGTCTTTCCTGACTGGGTCGGTGACGGCAGTCTGGTGAACCTGGTGAAGATGCATCAGCTTTACATGACATTCAATGAGCTGGTGTCACTGCAGGGTCTGGTATCCCATGTGGAGCCCAACATGGACCTCATATATTTGCTGACAGTAAGGCCAAAATTCTGCTTCTGGTCTTGGGGGGATTTTTTATAACGCTACATAAAGGATGTGGGCTTTTCACAGTAGGACTACTAAACTTAACCTTTTAAAACCCATCCGATCGTGGGCGATCGGATGGGATTTGAGAGGTTTACAACTAATAACTCAGAATGCATGGAAATTACACCGGTAAAATATTTGCCAATATAGACATGTCAACATCGTTGGAAAGCTTAGATTCTCCATAATTCAATCACTTAAGTTTATTTTATGGACACGGCCAGCACCAAAGCACAATTAATACAGCTGTAGTAGCATATCAAAATGTAAACATTACTAAGCAGCCACAACTACATACCTTTGAAGGCGTCCAGAAGCCGTTCTATAAATCCAGTCTTCATTGTTTATACTCCATTCTTCCATAAGGGTCCACAGATTAAACCGAATCCAGAATATTTATATAAAAAATATTCCATGAGGAAAAAATCGCCACATACTTATTTCCTCATTTGTTTGCCCATGATGTTTGACGTGGTTCTTTACATCGTCCTCTTACCTAAAAGACAATAGTGTCTGCATTTTTGTAGAGTCAGGGACAGTCGCTGAAGTCTCATAAGCGCTCCTTGCCTGTTAGCCAATGTCACACAGAGCAGAGCGATATTATGCCTCATAGAGTCCTACTGTTATCGGTTTAGACTAGTGTTGCACCGATACCGATACCAGTATCGGACGGGGCCCCAATACTGCCCTAAAATGGTGGTATCGGTATCGGCGAGTACCAACAAATAGGGCACCGATACCATTTTGAGAGCCATAAGTAAATTCAACTATTGTCACCCA